GTTTATGATGCTAAGGGTCTACATTGTTGAAACCTGGCAGGCAACTGAGGAATATCGAAATTTCAAATTATTGGCATTAAAATGATATTTTGACCTACTGCAGCACTGCAAACTTCTGATGTTGATATATCTAATTGATTACGGTTTTGAAGATTGCTCTGGGCCGCGCATAATCCTTTTTTAGATATCGTTTTTTATTGCGTAATGGTACATTGAACTTTGTTCACTGAATGCCTCATTGACCTCTGAGGGAACGCATTCGGTGTTTTAATGACAACTTTCCATTACCGTGAATGTCAACCGTTGTCTGAGACAAACGAGTGTATATCAAAATAGCCGACACCTACAATGTAATAGATATCGTTATCTTGGCCTCTGATTTCACGCAGGATCATAATACTGGCTGCAGTTGTTAACATACAATACCTGGTTGGAGAAACACACCTCTAGTGACTTGGTAGAGTGGACAAAACTGTATAGAGAACGATGAAAAGGTTTCTAATGCTGGAAGGTCAGTCTGTCAAATAGACCGTACCTGGGGATTGCAACTTTAGACGCCGTGTGAACAGGTGTGCAATTATAGTAATGTTTAAAAAGAAAATCATGGATACGATGCAACCAAAACATCATAAGTTTCTGTGTAGTTAAATGTCTTGTGGATATTAATCATCTTCAGTAAATCAAAATGCATTATTGATCATTTCAGTTTGATTTCTTGAATAAGAGGACCATTTAATGCATCAGGGGGATCTTATTTTATAACACTTTATATCCAACTGCACTGCAGGTACTCAATTTAGATCAATCACTTTAAGCTTATACCACTAACGTGTATCATGCGCTGTGATTTAACTATAGACTGCATATTCAAATTAACGACAAACTACAACGTAAGACTTGACCGTACGTGTATAGACCGATCAGATTTATTGTATACAATAAAAACAAAAAAAAACAAAAAAAAAAAAAAAAAAAAACAAAAAAATAAAAAATAAAAAATCGACAGAATTTGAATTCAACCCAATTTTAAATGACAACCACCGTGTTGAATCTTAGTCAATTCAATTAGTAATGTTACTTTCACCATTGAGAACAAAGTAAACAACAACAGAATCATCAAACATATTAACAAAAATCAAATACGTACAAATTCATTCCGCACAAGAAATCTTAATGATGACCGTAACATCATTATTTACATCAAGCTGCATCTTGCGGTCAGGTATTGAGGTATCGTGAATTTGGGAACAAGCTCTTAACATTGATTCAATTGCAATGTGTTAACACCATAGGTTGGAGATGTAGTGATGTTGCTATCGAGAAATGGAAAATTCAAAATAGGGAAATCGAAAACATAACGCTTATCAACAGTCTGAAGTAAAGCGGCTCCTATTGGTTTGGTTGCAAGAAAAATCAAGGTAAGCGGCTGCTGAAGAAGAGTCATCAATTTCTTATTCAGGAGGGTACATGTTTACACAACCGATATAGTCAAAATATTTCTTGTGAAAGATTTAACGAGATCTTTGTGACTTGTGTTGAATTATCTTTGATAATTTCAGCCTCTTTTGAAAACAAAAGCAAATCAGTCAAGACACAATTTCATTGAAATAAGATGTTAATGCGGTACGTGATGATGAATAAATGTAATTATGCAGATTGGCCAGAGGAAGGACACATTTTATTACCAAAGATATTGTCGATTAGAAATTGATCAGGTTTGTTAATTTGCCATCCGTAGATTTCATTTTTTTGCTTTGAACGTATTTTTTTTACGAAATACTCTCAGTATACACTGTATCTCTGTATCATACATTTATATCGTCGTTCACCTTTGCTTTGAAAAGAAACTTCTCATAACAAGAGAACGAATGCATCCGTTCTAAATGGGGTATGCTACTGTACAGAGTTGCAAAATATCTAATGGTTTCTCAGAAGAAATGTATTTTAGAAAACGGAGCCCAAGATTGGTCAAAACCTCTTTAAGGTTCCTAAGAATCTACATACACGTAGCATTAAATCAATATGTTGAGCACAATAGTATACAAATATATGTAGCCATAAAACAGTTTGCGTTTAAAAGCTTTTCTTTCTCTCTGTGTTTTGAAATGACAGATTTTAACAATGTTTTTTTTATCAAAATTATGTACTACACACCATTGACTTTATACATACTCTTACTTATATATATATATATCACTGAATACATACCATATATTTATAAAACTTAAGTCCTCTACAAGATTGAGTCATATATAATAGACATATACAAACCCTATACTCTCTGTATGTCTTTCATCATCTTCTACTACTCTATGTATTAACCGTAGGACAACGATATGACTACAAGTGGTAGGCATATGGTTTCAAGTATCAATTCATCACTCAACGGTCGGAGATTATCAGTAAAGGACTCAACCGTTAGATTTAATGTAGTACGCCTGTGTATATCACTAAATGCAATTTTAGTTGTAACATGTTTTATAAGTTCAGAAGACATTAAAGGAGATAGCTGATAAAGTTTTTGTCTTCTGAAATACTTGTTGGATCGTTATATCTGTGTTGCAGTATGCTGGGATGGTCAAACAATTTGGATATTCTTGAATCAATTAGTAATTCAACTTCAGGTCATTGTGTAATAGAGCAATGACCTGTTTCCGAATAGAACTACATAAAGTAGGTGTATGTTTAAAATTTTGGTGACAGGTAAATAAAGTATAGCCCCGTATGAGGGTATATATACTATATAGCCTTGTATACTACAAAATGATATATTGATATAACGATATATAGGCGAATGCAACAGTGAATGCAAATACAATGTGATAATTGCCTGTCAAATAAGAAATAGCATGGACATACTTGACAAAGAAATTTACGGTCATATAATGTATCAAGAAAGTTAAAACAATTACCTACATAACCAAGTCATGTATGCATTAAAACAGGCTCATTTGTATCTGTATATATATCTTCAGATATGATAAATTATTTATAGTATTGTTACTGTGGTTACGCTTATATGAAAACAGAAACAACATCACGAAATAGAGAAAACAAGGTTTTAATTCATTTGCTGAGTAAGTGTAATTGATATATATACATTTGTAATTCTATATTTAGGAAAATCTAGTGACGACTATTGTCTTTTACTTTGTAAGTTTTTAACAAACGATATGAGCAAAATTCGTTGCAGCAGATTTGTGCATTAATTACAGATGAATTAACCAATTAAGTTTGGTGGCAGTGATTAAAAGTTATAGGGATCACCAAGCTCAATATATTCCGTGATACCGGGGAAGAGACGAAGGTGATGTTTATCGCGACTGAACATTCGCTGCTGAAAACATTGGAGAAGGTGAAGACAGATTTGTTAAGTTCATGTTATAGAATTTCATTATCCTTGTCATACAATGCTTCTGTTAATTATGGATAACCTTTTGGCTGAATCTAGATTCATTATATCCGCGACAACGATTGAAATGCGAAAAGTGTATAGACACAAATAAGATTCCGGAATTCATTTTTGCAAAGTTTTGGTGGAGAACGCCTATAGTTGTCTCTGTAAGATTAATAGGTTGGCTTAACCTTGAAGTCAACAAAAATATCAGGTGTACCTCCGTCAACGGAGAAGGATTCTGGACTTTAATGAACTTCTCTAACGTTTATCTCTTATGAGGTTTTTATGAAGATAATCTGGTATGACACGCAGGTGTATGAACACATTTGAAAAAAAATGTTCACAAACCTTCGCTGGTGTGAGACGGCTACCCACGCGGGCGTTGATAGTATGCCAGTACTTGTATTTTTGAGCAGCGCTATCAGCAGATTTTAAATAGATTGTGATAACCCTTGGACATAAACTGTTTTATCTAGTGCTTTACGTTTTGCGATGATTAAAAAAAAAACCAATACACCCGTGTGATATATCATAACTACCGATATTACTGAACTATTGATCACGTTGAAAGCGGGCATATGTTTCCTTCTGAAACGTGATCAGTCTTGTACATTTAAACAATAAAAACGAAAAAAAAAAAAAAAAAACATGAAATAAAAAATGCATTAAGAAATCATGAAAGCTATCCAAGTATCCACTCAACTTAGGAACGGTAACTCTTGGTTTAACACGTGACTTTTTCTCCTCCTAGAACTCATGATGCCCGACCTTAATTGTAGAAATATAGGACGCGACAGAAAAATCCTGATTGTTAAGTAAGCTAACTTCAAAGTTAAACAAATGCTATAATTTTGAATCAAAAGAAAGTTAGGAACATGTGTATATTCTGTAGCGAGTCACTGATGGAATGGTTAAATGCAAGTTAAGACACACCGCGCGAACTAAACGTCCTCCAGAAATACAAGCTAATTTTGATTTTCTTACTAAATTGAAAAAAAAAAGAAAAACATCTAACGGACGTCATCATGACAATCTCCTTCTAAGAGAAAACATTTCTGGAAAAGAAAACATGAATGTAAAATAAAGACCGTTGAATAAGTGTTGATTGTTCAGTAAACGTGTTGATATTGTTTGCAGAAATGTTTCACCGGAAACAAAAATAACAAAATATTATTATTTCCGGTATTTCATAATCGAGCTTAATATGATTATACAGACAACTTTCAGTATCTGGAATTCTTTTTAAAAGTCTTACACTTTCGGAACACTGTTACTCTCCTTGTACGTATTAAGGGTTCTGTTTTCGTTGTTTTGTGCATATCTTGCTATAGTTTTATAGAATTTGTGGTTTGATTGTGATTATATTGACGTGTTGGTATTGTCTTTGGAATATTGTTAGACATTTATTATAGAGACGAGGGAATTCACCGAGCACTTGTATCCTTCGACTTATGCCACCTTAACACTGTTTTGCATTTTGTACTGTGTATAACATTATTGTGAGTATGTGTCAATGATATGCTTCTGATGAAGGTAGTTCGCTTGGTATGAATGTGGTGTCACACTAATTACGTCAGAAGACGCCATACACCAGCTGTAAAACAATTGTGGCTTGTTACTGACATCCTCGGTTTTACGTAGTAAGGTTTCTACAGTACCCGACGTCGTGCATGTGTGTACACTCGCCTGGTTACCCCACATACACATTGTGACCGATCTACAGCCTGGCAAGGCACGTTATCTTTCATATTTCAAAGGTCAAGGGCTTCGATCCATTGGCGAGCTACGTCACGTAGGATGGAAATCAATCCGGTAAGTGGGCCTGAATTGTCATTAAATAATGCCTTCTTTGTGGAAGTGGGCGAAAGTAATATTATCATGAAAAGGACAAAATAATACATCTATCTGATTAACTGCAATTTCTAACTTTAAATTCTAATTGATTATCATATGAGTGAACGGCTTCCGATAAGTGTCATGTGACACAAAACTTCGAGTTCGGAATCTCTCTAAATTCGCCATAAGAAACGACTACGTACGCCATTTAAAGTGCATGTACAAATTTCATTTCTGTCGCTTTGGTGTTGTAAATATTCATTAGAGTACAGGTGTATTTGAAATAGATCAAAGTGGTATACTATCTTTCTGAGTTTAAAAAGTTTACACGACAGTTAAGGCACATCCGGGACATGTTTACAAAGGGCTGGTATACCTTTATATATGTGACTGTCAATTACTTGTTATTTATTGGTGAAATGTCTTGATACTTGAAATGTCTTTCTTTTATCATAAACACTATACACTCTGATAATAACATTCTATTGTAGCTTGTTTCATGACTGATGATGTCGATTTAGACAGGATCTGTTTTTCTGTATGTTTTATTTATATATGGAAATATAAAAATATGATTTTCGAGATTTTGAAAAAAAACCCCACCCCAATAGGCGATTTTAAAGCCATTTTCGAAACTAGAACTTTATTCTTTCAGATGATTTTTGTATATTTATAAAATTTCTGATATGTCAAATTTTGACTATATTCGTTTGGACAACATAATACGAACGTGTAAACACGCCATGAAGCCAGACAATATGTATATACAAACAATTACTTATAGGGGAATGTGAAACATGTATTCTGTCACGTGAAAATATGATTCTGTGTACAGGATGTTGGTGACGTGTAGATCATATGGAAACATTGTCAATACATTAAATACAAGTAATATAAACTTTATTTATATTCCATAACAACATGCGAATATTACATAGCAAAGTATACAGAGGAATTGGAAACAAGTTAAACAACTTATATAAATCCTTTTCCAAGTACAAGTATCAGAGTTTTATACGTTGTATCAGTTCCCCGCTTGCCATAATAACAGGTACAGCGTGGTGACAGACGATCTGCTAATCCGATCAACATACCACAATAGATAAGTTAGATATGGAAGTAAAACACGCGCGTGTAAATATCGCACAGTAAGTACTATCACTAATAAATCTTGTAGGTAAAACATGTCACAGCTGCTTACAATATTGTTTCCTGGTATTTTCTATGAAAAACTCGGAACATCTGTTGTATATACAATAACATCAATAGGTACATTCATCGTTTTTAACATATTGTAGAACACGTGCGAAATGTGTAAATCACATCACCATTTTTTTTTTAAACAAGATAAGGTCTATGTGGTAGATGTATAGGTATATGAAGGACGTATTATAATTTTGTCATTGTAAACAAATACACTCAATAGACTAGCCTTGGATGAAACTTCCAGGATCCTATTTATATTTTCATTGTTCATTATGCTATCACTTGGATGCCATGTATTATATCTTAATAATTTCATTTTATTAAAAATTATAAGCGACATGTTATACATTACAAGAAGATACACACGTGAATAACACGTTTTAATACGTATTTAGAGATAGAGGCAGTAGAGTCAAACAATGAATTAAATTGCCTAATAAATATGTTTATGGTTGTGTTACAGTAAACATAAGTAGGGCACTACACACATGAGAAAGTCCTTGTAGTCGTTAGGACACAAACAAACTTGATATATCAGTCAGTCCAAAGTACTGTTGTCCCTTGTAAGAAGGAGTAAACAGACGTATAATTCAGTTTACACTGCTTATACGACTACAAACTCTAATTTTTATTGAAAAGTTTTGAAGTCTGAAGTTCTTAATCCTTGAGGCAATAACAACAAACATGAAATAAACCTTTTGTCTTTCCCGAGAGGTATCCAAATTTTCCATTTGAGGTTTATGTGATATTTCTAAACAAAATGTAACCAATTCATATCCACAATTGTGCTCAGAAACTGGCAGGTGGTTCGCTTGACCGAACGTACGGCTGGGTATGGTAATACGACACGGCGGTGTTACAGGGAGATAACTCCAATTGCATTTCGTTAAAATGTACAAGAAAAACTTTTTTAGTTATTACGTAAATAGTTAAATTGTTATTAAATAGCAAAAATAATTTACAAAAAATATGAATATGGACAAAAATTACTTGTAGCAGCAGATTCCAATGTGATAAGCTAGTTAATAATAAAATGTTAAAGATGTCATGTTCAGTAAATAACGTTTTACATGTAATATAATAATTTTAATTGATAATCAATTGTATGACATATTTTTAGACAATAAATGATTTTGAAGTGAAAGTTTGAAACAGAAAATTAATATAATACATTAAAGCATTTACTATTCTGGATGTTTTGAAAAAAAAAGTCATAACCAGATTCCCAGAGTGTCATATCTCATATAAACCAGCATCAATTACGTCGAATTTTATTTCACGTAAACAGATATACGGAAATATGATATGCATGGTAGTTACTACAAGGGAATGGGAACTTCGTAAATAAGAAATGAGATCGATACAGGATATTGACCAATGATAAAGCTTAGGGAATAGGTGATTTTGTTGCCTGATGTGTTCAAAATTAGATATAGAGTCCGATATGTGTCAAAAATACACAAAAAGGCCCCAACGGTGAAAGATATTTAACCACAGAGCCTAAGAGATTGATGATATACACCACAGAGCCTAAGAGATTGATGATATACACCACAGAGCCTAGGACATTGACGATTTACACCATAGAGTATAGGACACGATTTACACCATAGAGTATAAGACATTGAAGATTTACACCATAGAACCTAGGACATTGACGATTTACACCACAGAGCTGAGGACATTGACGATTTACACCACAGAGCCTAGGACATTGACGATTTACACCATAGAGTATAGGACATTGAAGATTTACACCACAGAGCCTAGGACATTGACGATTTACACCATAGAGTATAGGACATTGAAGATTTACACCATAGAGTCTAGGACATTGAAGATTTACACCATAGAGTCTAGGACATTGACGATTTACACCATAGAACATAGGACATTGAAGATTTACACCATCGAGTCTAGGACATTGACGATTTACACCATAGAGTCTAGGACATTGACGATTTACACCACAGAGCCGAGGACATTGAGGATATACACCATAGAACCTAGGACATTGACGATTTACACCATAGAACCTAAGACATCGACGATTTACACCATAGAATCTAGGACATTGACGATTTACACCAAAGAACATAGGACACTGTCGATTTACACCATAGAACCTGAGACATTGACGATTTACACCATAGAACATAGGACATTGACGATTTACACCTAGGACATTGACGATTTACACCATAGAACCTAGGACATTGAAGATTTACACCATAGAGTCTAGGGCATTGACGATTTACACCATAGTCTAGGGCATTGAGGATATACACCATAGAACCTAGGACATTGACGATTTACACCATAGAACATAGGACACTGTCGATTTACACCATAGAACCTAGGGCATTGAGGATATACACCATAGAACCTAGGCGTTGACGATTTACACCATAGAACCTAGGGCATTGCAGATTTACACCATAGAGTCTAGGACATTGACGATTTACACCATAGAGTCTAGGACATTGACGATTTACACCATAGAACATAGGACATTGACGATTTACACCATAGAACCTAGGACATTGCAGATTTACACCATAGAACCTAGGACATTGACGATTTACACCATAGAACCTAGGACATTGAAGATTTACACCATTGAATCTAGGACATTGACGATTTACACCAAAGAACATAGGACACTGTCGATTTACACCATAGAACCTAGGACATTGACGATTTACACCATAGAACATAGGACATTGACGATTTACACCATAGAACCTAGGGCATTGCAGATTTACACCATTGAGCCTATGACATTGACGATTTACATCATTGAGCCTGGGACATTGAAGATTTACACTATAGAATCTAAGGGGCGTGATATATATACTATAAAACACAGGGAATGTAAGAAATACTCTATAGTCGAAGACGGAAACGAATAAATACACAAACATAGAAAACATATTTTCATCACGTGTTTACAGATATTTGTCTGTATAGCGGAATACAAAAACATTATTTCACATCAAAACGAAATAACCCATATAATGTCCCTTATTTGCATCAGAAACCGAAACTAGCGCATTAGTGAGGGTACAACGAAACAAAATGACAAACAATTGATATACTCAGGAAAGACTATGAGAAGAGAGTTAAAGAACTTGTTGGAAACATTACGGACATATAAAATTATAAATACGGATATAAAGATAATTTAACCTGCAATAAAAGCTGGGGTACTAACAATTACGACTACCAGACATTTTAAACTCATCATGTGTTTTTGCATAGTCCAAGATTATAAACCTGAATGATAGATTAGATGAGAAATTAAAAAAATATATATACTGTCGTATAAGTGGATGGTTTAAAGCAAGTAGTGTGATCGAAGTATGTGTTACTTTACGTCACAAAGTCTGTCTTTAGCTCAAGGTATGAAAAACATTTGTTCACATTGAAAAATGCTATGGAGTTTCATGTCTGCGATTTTGTTCATTTAAAATCAGCGGTAACTAGATAGAAAAAAGTAAATGATTACGTGTCGCAGCATTTACATGCTTAATAAAGCAGTGTTTACCTGATTCGTCTATAAATAAACCAAGAATGTGGTGTCCGGGCAGGTCAATGATAATACCAGGCAACACCGAATGGTTTGTCAGTGCCTTATGATATGTGAACTCAACACCGAATGGTTTGTCAGTGCCTTATAATATCTGAAGACAACACCGAATGGTTGTCAGTGCCTTATAATATGTGAACTCAACACCGAATGGTTTGTCAGTCCCTTATAATATGTACAGGCAACACCGAATGGTTGTCAGTGCCTTATAATATGTGAACTCAACACCGAATGGTTTGTCAGTGCCTTATAATATCTGAAGACAACACCGAATGGTTGTCAGTGCCTTATAATATGTGAACTCAACACCGAATGGTTTGTCAGTCCCTTATAATATGTACAGGCAACACCGAATTTTTGTCAGTGCCTTATAATATGTGAACTCAACACCGAATTGTTTGTCAGTGCCTTATAATATCTGAAGGCAACACCGAATGGTTGTCAGTGCCTTATAATATCTGAAGACAACACCGAATGGTTGTTAGTGCCTTATAATATGTGAACTCAACACCGAATGGTTTGTCAGTCCCTTATAATATGTACAGGCAACACCGAATGGTTTGTCAGTTCCTTATAATATGTGAACTCAACACCGAATGGTTTGTCAGTCCCTTATAAAATGTACAGGCAACACCGAATGGTTGTCAGTGCCTTATAATATGTGAACTCAACACCGAATGGTTTGTCAGTCCCTTATAATATGTACAGGCAACACCGAATGGTTTGTCAGTGCCTTATAATATGTGAACTCAACACCGAATGGTTTGTCAGCCCCTTAACTAGTGTTTACGTAGAAAGCAGGATTGATTGAAGACGTTATAGAAAATAATGATGTGATAAGATTTAGAGATCGAGAAAGACTTAAACATAAATATTTTACTGTGTGTTCCATACAGTTATCCTGAGACAGTATCTGAAATAATGATATTCAACGAAGTTGTTACGGTAGGCCCTTTCTCTAGATACTTGACAAATATCCCAGCGCATGGCTGTGGAAATCAAGCGCACGAAATGCACGGGTAAAATTCTCTGACTGTAGACCTTTGGGATCTTTATAAATCCAACTGCTGATATTCGAAGCAATGAATGATTGATGACATATTGAATCATGTATATTGGGGGTTAAAATAAAAATTAATTTGTTGAAAATTCAAATTTTTGGCAATTCTTGTTTGATTTCTAAGCGTATTGGTTGTTTCAGGTGATAGGCACACTGAAAGGAGGATGACACAGTGTTCGCAACAGACACAACAACAATGGAAAATGAGAGAGAAAAATCACTTCCGGTAGACCGAGGATGGGCATGGGCAGTGCTTGGGGGTAACCCTGTTTACCTATGCTTTATATTCAGTATTGCCATCTCGAACATGCAATTGTTGTTGAAAAACCTATCGTTCTATAGAATCCTTCTGAACAATGATAACGCCCGTCCTTGGCGCCTTATTCTGCGTGAGAAGATTGTGAAGCTTAAACCGACACAGAATATTGCAATGCTGTTCTCTTGACATATTGACATCTTCTTTATGTATTTTTTAGGTGCAGTATCCGTTTACTTCTTCTATGCCGGAGTATTAAAGTCCTTTGGTATCCTGTTTGTTGAATTTGTTGACAAGTATCAGGAATCTGCAGCAGTTACTGCCCTTGTTTCTGGTCTGGAGTCAGCATGTTTTACCATAGCTGGTGAGATCAAACGTTTTTTTTTAACATGTAATTGTATTTAAACATGAAATGTTTCAAGTCATTGATTCACATGTATATTATGTAAAATATATTTACAATTGTCTGTAATAAGAATCATATCTACATTTTGTATAAAACGTTTTGTTTTATCTACATTCAGTATTTTGTCGAGATAAACTCTTTTTGCAATGACGTCGTGTTGCACTACTATATCTAAATTGTAGCAAATTAAGAACAGAACATGTTGAAAATTAAAACTCAGATTAAAAATAAGAATCGACATTTAAACATCCATTCAGTAGACATTAAATTGTTTTTTGTTAAAATTGTAACCGAAATGAATTTCAATTTGTATTTATTTACACACTGATATATTGAAATGCATATCATTAATTGTATAAATGTTTATCGCCACAGCCCTGTTATCCTTGACTGTTGGCCTGAATTACGCGAATTGTCGGACGATTGTCATATGTGGTGGTTTGTTCCTGGGAACAGGCTTTATACTCAGCAGCTTTGCGCAAGATGTCTACTTTCTGTTGGTGTCCTACAGTGTTGTGTTCGGTATGTGAAACGGTCTCTCATTTATCTTTTGATTTAAAATCCGCGAAATTGGAACAAGAGCATATTTAAAAAAAAATAATGCGTTGTAACGTTAAAACATTGTATAAGCATTTGCTAGATATGATACGTATCGTGCTAAGCTAGTTTTTGATTTGCAGGGCTAGGACATGGGATGGTCACGGGCCCTGTTTTATGCCTGTTAGGGGAATACTTCGAAACAAAGCGAGGGATTGCAAACGGGGCCGCAATGTCAGCTTGTAGCGTGGGTGGGCTGTTATTTGCTCCTCTGTGCCGAGCTCTGCTCGACGAGTACGGACTCCAGGGAACTCTTCTTATTTTTGGCGGACTAGTGTTCAACTGTGTAGTAGGAGGTGCACTGATGCGTCCAATAGAGTTTTTCTCTCTTGAAAAAAGACGAGCAAAACTGAAAGCAAGCAAAAGCCTTCAGAAAAGGGAAAGAAGAAAAACACAAGAATCTGGAGAAACAAATGGCAATATATCGAAAAGTTTACCTACATTAGATACAGAGGAACCATTCAGAGCCAGATCGCCAACGACGGATTCAACATTTTCACCATTAGCACGAAGGGCTATGCTAAAGAGAATGCGATCAAGGACCGAATCCGAAGTTGCTGCTCAGGAACCAATGCTACCGCAATTGCCACAATCAACAACCCCACAATCAAAATTGGTTCATGAACCACCTAGAATGGGAGTAGGGCGATACTTTAGCAATGAAAGTCTTATTAATGTAGCTGTTGCATCGTCTGCTGGCTTCAAGACATCACGTGAAAGTGTGAGATCTCGGAGATCTGAGACCTTTGAGAGTACGGAGGTCAGTGCTATTCAAATGAAAAAACAAAAGACAGCTTGTCAAGGTGTTTTTAATTGTAAAATATTTTGTAATTTAGCATTTGTTCTTTTTGCACCTGGTTACTGGCTTGGTAGCATAGCCGGTTCACTGCCAGTGTTATATCTGCCTGCACATGCTGGGGAAATAGGGATACACGGACAGAGTGCAGCTCTTCTTCTATCCATAACAGGGGCCTGTGACGCAATGGGTCGACTCTTGGCAGGGGTTGTCTCGGATCAATTCCATATAAATCCACGATATCTGCTTATTTTGGCCTGTGTGATTAACGGACTTATGCAGCAATTTTCCGTACTTTTTACTACATACTGGCATTTTGTGATATATGCAGTTGTGTATGGTATATTCTCGGGATTTCTGTACTCTTTGTACGCCGTAATTGTGTTACAAATGGTTGGTAATGAGGATTTCCGAAGCACAATAACAGTTCTCATGATTGGACAAGGCATAGCATTTAGTATATCCAATCCATCAATCGGTAAGTACAAAAAAAAATAAATAATAATGATAATGAATAAATAAATAAATAGATTTCAGGAACAACTTGATATTGTACTCAAATGTATTATTATCTAAACGTCTTACATAGGAAATGATGTCTCGGTACAAAAAACTACTCACTGCTTTGTAATATAAAGTGATTATAACTAATTATTATGTAAATATTTAACTTTAATTAGGTTTGTAATTTCCATGTCTTTACGCAAAAACAGGTTTTCTAACTTAAAATCAATTCAGGCATTACCTGCGCGTGTTTACTGAAAATATGAAGTTATGCACAGGAGTCGGATGATTTGATTTCTAGCGTGCCTGTAACTGTTTATTTGTCATAGTTTCTTTTGGATCATATGGCGAGTCCTCAGGAACCTAATCTAACAAAGAAATATACTTTCCTATTAACAAATTTAAAGTAAATATCATAATCTTCAAGATTTATAAAAACAAAAAACAAAAACAAAAAACAAAAAAAAACAAAAAAACGAAATAAATAAAGAATGAAATAAAAAAACTAATAACATAAACTGCTTAATTACTCGTCTCCCCGATCTTATGATATCATAATTGATCGTCACTTCCTGATGACCTGTTGTATATGTATATTATCTAATGATTATTGGAATATAAACATGTATTTTACAGGTCTGATGGTGACTGACTGACCTTGTAAGAATGATATAAATCTGCGTTTGTTATGATATTGTGATTAAACTGGGCTTTGGCTAAAGAATCCCGATGAAGGATAACGTCATCTATCTTCCTTTTTATCTGTTGTTTCAGGTGCACTCAAGGACAGCTACGGTTCCTACGACGCGTCATTGCATTATACAGGCGCATGCGCATTGATGGCATCTATTTTATTCAGCATGGAAACATTAATATACAAATTGAAATCAAGTAAAGAGAAAGAAACAGATATAGAATTGTCTCCTGGATAGGGAAGTCAATGTTATCGACAAGATTCCTAAAAACATCCAATGGAGTTTAAATACGTATGAAGGGATAGGGCAGAACTGATTTATTAACAAAAGTATGGTTAGATATTTCAGCATTCAATTCTATCGTACTCTTTGAATTGAATAAAATAATTCTTCTGTTGAAGAATTGAGATTGTGATCCTAATATAAAAAACCTTATATAGACATTTATGTATCATTATCATCCTCACTGCCCTCTACTTTAACACTAAAGAACAACATACAAGAGACTAGAGTATAACGCAAATGGGTCAATCGAAACAAAATTCCACGCTTCTGCATTAAAAAAAACGTCTCCAACGGCCTACTTGTATATTTGTAATATGTTATACACTGCTTTTGTCAGAGATCGTGAATTCTGAAGTACTGTGATAAGCAGCGTCGTATATCTTTTATTTGTTTTACTGATAACGGTTATGATAACATCTTCCTTTTAACAATAAACTAATTTGAAACTCAATGATAGAGCCATATTGATGATACCAAAACCATACTACTGAGAAATACGATAAAACATGCATTTTTTTTTTTGAAAAAAGAGTATTTATTTATACGTTTATCTTAATAAAATAAGAAATGAAATACATTTCAATTGTTCTTTATTTTCATTGATATTTTCCGTTTCGACGTCCGTAGCTGTGTTTACTGTTGAAAAAAGAACAGGTTTAATTGTGAGGAAGTTTGTTTTAATATATCTCTGGTTAAAAGCAGTCAACCTATTCACTTAGTTTTCTCTGAAGTCCATCGACAACAGGAGCTTAAGGTCTGATTTTTTTTCCTGAATAAATTTCTGTTCCTAAAATGTGATCTTGTTGCCACGATTGTGACTTTCCTTCTAACTGGCTTCTATTCCCTCTGTACAAAATCACACAAGTGACAAGAGTTATTCCCCATATTCGTCTGGTCCCTGAACATGTAATTCAGTGTCATTACACTGTCAAGGCCATACATATTATAACAACATTTCATCTTGTTATCCATTTTTCACTTTGCTGGCTCACTACAGCATCAACAAAGTATAATATTCCTCATTGTGAATGGAACATCGCAATAATGATTAGCGAATTCTAAGCATTCATCGTTTTGTGGTGAAAATCAGAATAATGACAATGTTCATATCTCATATCTGACATTTTAGGTAAAATGGAACATCAGTTGCAAGGGTCGTAACAGATATTCCTCATTTTATGTAGAAGGAATAACAGAACAGTGACCACAGTTACTCCTAACATATCTCTTGTCACATAGGCCGTCAATTTTTTTTTTTTTTTCGTGATTTTAATTATTTTGAATAATATCGCTACATACATTATTTCCATTTGAAACAGCAAGACAAATTATTACGTCGCAAATTTGCAAAATTATCAAATTCATACACCCTACTGATATAACCTCTGACCTCGGTTGACAATACAACAAGGAAAAAACGTCTTGGGCTACTTCTCTTCCGTCCTCATACGGAAAGTCACACCAAGATATACAGACAAGATCTACACAATCCACCTTTATATTGCAGCTCTAGCCCGTGACAAGAATTCCCCCAACAAAGTTTCCCATTGACTCTGTTGATAGGGTAGTACAAGATAGTTGGATGAAAAGTCCTGACATTTTTTTTTTAAATTGTTGGTAAAGTAGAATTTCCTGAACACTTACCAAACAGTTCCTGATTGTGAGGAAGCACTAAAGTACAACAAGAACATGTCACTGAAGTCATAAAAATTGAACCTGAAATTAGTATCCCTGACAAATTACCTTTTCTTTAGATAACATTTGCACAACTCTTAAGATTTTCTTCCGGTTGTTCACGGGTATCAGATGTTCGTCAAGTGTTCATTAAGGCCGCCTCTCTTCCAGAGAGACAACACTGATTTGTATATGTAGTAGACTGGTATAGGAAATTGCGTTCGTTTTAAATCTGACTTATATGAAACAGCGTAGAATCAAACAAGTCTGAAGCGGAAATAATATAAAAATTGAAATGTTCGCTATTCAAACCAACAAAGAACATACTAACATGCAAACAAAACTATATCTCACACAGACGTTAAAAACACCAATGTATACGGAGATTCCATGGAGAATAAGAACATGTATTCCGGAAGAATAAGCGCCCTTTGTTTCATTGGCGACACCGTTATGTAAATCTTTATCAAACCAAGGAAGTTATATCACATTACCGAAAGAGAACATGTGGTCGACAGCAACGCAAACACAATGTACGTCGAACTTCTTATAGCGTGAGGTAATAGAATATTTTCCATCATTTTCCTCAACTTTTATCTCTCGAAACCCGGTATTGTGAGTGTGTCTATCACTTGCCAACACCTTGTATGAAATTGTAAAACTGAGTACAAGCTTGTTGATGTCGAATTAATTGCGGCATATTAGCACCATGATTATGTTAGAGATGTAGGGATGTTGCTCTCCAGAAAATGGAAAATTTTCAATAATGATTAATGACCATTTACAATTGTAATGAACATCATGAAAGTTATTTAAACAAGATATCCATACATAATTGACAGCAGATGAAAATGATTTGGGACTGGGTTCGGTTTATCGTCTCCTGAAATCTTCCTAACGCTAGGTGTTGTCTCACCGACGGAAGTCAATGTTCAGGCGTGAGGGGGTGACCTGCATCCCCCTGACGCGGGATCACAGCAGAAATATATACAACGTAGTGTAATCATTATCAAATTTAAAGAAACAAGTTACATCCTTAATGTAGCATAGCTAACGTGTGAATGGTTTAAACAGAGTCCGACTGAAAAACATAAAAAACTCTTATCAGCATATCATTTTTCACTGAGGAACACAGTTTGACGTCGTCATGAATTTCATAGTCTTAAAAAGTATATTTGTTAGTTCAATTTCGTGTTACGTAAATTAACATATGTCACTGTTTACATGGTAGTAAAACTATTTTCGAACACTTTCAAATATGAAATGATTTACCGCAGCCTGTAAAATAATTGTACAGTCATACAAACGCCTGTCACATTCGCATGGAGTATAAGTGTTTGATTGCCGTTATAAAGGGTACACGTTAGCAAATCTGAACACGAATATTATAAAATTGTCCCAGCTAATCTGAAGAAAAAGCAACATGTCGATGCTGTCTTTGTTTTGTGTGATTTTACTAATTGGTAAGTTTATACACGTACCACATATTCGTTTTTCTTTTCTCTTTTTAATTTTTGATATATTTTTTTCTCTCATTAATTAAATTCCTTTGCAATTTTTTTTGTAAATAAAACAACGTTGTTTTTCACAGAAATGGGTTCTATGTCAAGTTAAAAGGATATTCCGTCGTTAGATTGGCAAAAATAAGCTACGCTTTTGTTTCGATTTTTTCTAATATATATGTCGAGGCTCTCACTATTATTTGTGCTAACGGTATTGAAATAGGCACGGACTTTGTACAGAATGCACGCTTTATATCTATTTACAGTCAATGTACATCGGCACGTGGATACCTACAACGTAAATTCCACGAGATATAACATTCACTATACATCCTGGGAATTTTGACAGCCACGAGTGTCATGTAGACAGAAGTTAAAATGTGGTTTTGGTTTAAAGAAACGCTAAGCTACATATTATATGTATATCAATTTAAAGGGGTCCACGAAGGGTAAATCCCAATTTTTTATCTGGATGAAGCGAATATAACTTTGAAAATGACGTCATCACGTACAGCTGTCTAGACACAGAAAAAACATTATTCGTTGTTCTGCTGATCATTTGCCCTTTCTTTCGTTCAGAGTGACATCGGCTTTACTAGTTTTGATTCCGCTTTACAGTTTACTCATTAACCTGTTCCTGTTTTGTTTTTGTTTCTAAGCAATTTCACTACTTATCTTCTCTCGCGAATCAACGAATCGCCATATACTAATTATTAGGTATATGAAACACCAAATTCTGTGCAATTCGCTCCTCAGCCGTCAGGAACGACTTGGTCGGCATTAATTTGAAACTTGTATTTTTGATACATGCAACCCACACTCGACAGATGTTCCCTCTCGGATCGTGTTTATCTAAAAATGCGTGTTATTCAACCTGAAAACCCAGTTTAGGGACACAGCAGGTTCACTAACCCACTGTTTGTCTTGGTACAAAACGTAGTAAACATATATCTTCTTTAATTCTTATTTCAAATTTGACGACAATGATGTGAACAAATCAAAATGGGTAAAAAAAATAATAATAACAAAATACACACAACCATATATTTATCGCCAACAAGCCAAATGATAAATAGCTCTATGATGAAGTTGACCAAATAAAACCTTTGAAATACCCAAAATGTTGCAATTACTCTCCTATCAATATGAGGATTTAAACAAATCGAAAGGACTTTATACCTTCTTCTTTATTTTGAATATATTGCAAAGTAATAGTCCTTACTTATCATGATTATATTTGTAGTTGAGGAAAGTAGATAAGGTGTACACAGCATTTCAGATAGATTAAAGTGTGCCGTAAATTTGCGGGTATAGTGCGCACTCGGGTATAGTGCGCAGGTACTTTTTTGGGGTCAGATTAAAAAAAAAAAGTTTTCAACAGAAAGATTAATTGATTACTGGTTACCGCGACGAAACAGTTGTGGTTTGATCCATTGATAATTAGGAAACCCTACCATATTTAATTACCTTCCGGAAACAAAGTCACTCCGGTACCTGACTTAACAAGCGTGAAAGGCTTGGCTAATTGGATAATTAACGGTTCTTAACAGGTAACAAACACATTGAGTATGAGGGAAGTAATTACATTAAATGTATTTACATGGCTATCTTCCTTGAAGTTTCAGGGTTAGAGTTTTCTTCCAGTAATTATGTCTATAAAGGCATATTTCTATGAGATTAAACCAGACTTTCATATATATATATACAACATTTTTTCGCTATAGCTTCTACTATTTTTGATCTCCAATGCATTAGATAATGTCACCATGACAGGCTAAATGAATAAATATGTTATGGAAATATTTCGTTCTAGTTAATTGATAATTATAAACATGAATATTTTGGATTTTTTTATACGCGCTTTGTTTGAAGGAATATTTTCATTTCAAGGAACTTTGATACACATTAACAATCCTTGAGAAATCAGCACAATCAACCTTCATCAAATAAAACTAAAAGACAACAAAGTCAACATCACGATCAATACAGTATTAAAAATATATTATTCATAAATCATGAGCACCAAATGTACGTTGCCTACGAAGCGCAAACTTTTTATCTTTAAAAACTTGAAAAATTATGATGGCGGTGGGTGTGAAAAACCTGAAAAAATTGTCATATCGGCGGGCGTGCGCGTGGGACGAACAGTCCAATTCGGTGACGTCTACTGAGGTAAAGTGATGTTATATATTAAGACGATCTTGCCACAACGACAAGGATTAAAACAAAATTGATGTTCTGTTTGTACGTTTTGTTTGTTTATATGTGCTGTTAGTTGATAATTCAAACCAAGCCCCCAGACTAGCTTATCAACTCGCACGTACAGTGTTCTGTACGCTTACGTCATGTCGAGAATTCCGTAAAATATATTGTTCAAAATTTATCAATAGTTCAACCACACTGTGCTTCTTTTTTGAAATATATAGTAATCGTATTGTTATTAAAAGATAAACTAATTTTGGATGCTTTTAAAATAGCGATTTGAAAGATCGCGGCATTATTTACATAGAAAATTGCCGCTAGCGGGCTCTAACTCTTTTCGATATTTCAGCCAATGAGAAGGCCAGGATCGGTAAATTTTGTCTGAATGGCCGTCGCAATGGGCTAAGTGTACTGAGTACGTTTAGCCTAAAAATCGCCATTTATCGTACAATCGATTAATCATACTTTTTTGGTTGAATATAGGCAAAATTTTGGCGAGGTTGAAGAAAGAAAAAAGATATGATCATCTGACTGAAATTTGTACGATAACATATGCCAAAATAACTGCTCCGCGTGAAAATATAGCTCCAGACTTACACGGATATAACTACGATTTTATGAACTTGGTCATTACAACACATTAAATCTATTACTTAAAAGGGTTTTTTTTTATTTTATAAACATTATCTTAAGTAGATTCAGAAAGTAATTCTGTTGAATAAATGAAAGTTCTAAAATACAGCTGTTTTCCGTCACTGACGAATAAATTAGATGCATCCCGGTAATTGCAGCGCCAGTTGCAGGATAAAATGCGATATCTATTTATTATAGGACCTCTCAGTGGATATGTTCACAGCGGAGGGTGTGTTCGGGTCTGTCCCTTGTCCTACATTCCAGTGTGTGCTGATAATGGTCGGACGTTTGCTAATGATTGCGCGATGGCTATGGAAAGTTGCAAGTACGTATAGATATGTGTTTTGTGTTAACAGCCATGGTCAGGATGTATCTTAATTCTGTAATAATTCTGTGCAATGAGAATAATTAATACTCACTCCTTACTATCGGAATGAGAGCAGTTGAAAAAAAACCTTCTTGTAGGCGAGATACATGACTTTTGTAAGTTATACAAGTCCAAAATAAATTAACTTAATGATTTAAAAATATCAGCGTATATGCAATTTGTAGTATTGAGATATGTTAAAATGCTAATACGTGTTTTTTTTTATCATCCTTTTTCCAGACTAAGACGTGATTTGAAGGTCGTACACTACGGTGAATGTTGACTTGGTCACCTCCCCAGTTGTCTCCCTTTGTCAAGTAAAGGTAGATGTAATAAATACAACAAAATAAAATCAAGATTGTTGAATAACTTTCTTTCCTTTATCACTTCGGTACTGTAGTCATTTTACAGCTTTCACATTCAGACAAAACAAACTAATACCGAATCCGTTGTCTCATTCTGTTATACAGAAAAGGTAAATTCTCCAACGGAATCTGGTATGTACGAAAGCGTATAAGTGCAGCTTTAAAACTTTTTTATTTTATGTTTTACACCATTTAATCTGTAAATTTTACACATTAATCTGTTACAATTACAGATTAAAATATAGAAATTACAGATTTACGTGTAAAACATTATGTCATGTTTTTTTCGAATTTGGGATTTTGAGACTGATCAGACAAAAAAAAAAAAAAAAAACATCAGTAGCAAGACTAACATTTACGCACGGTCAGTATGTGTTAATCAATTATGGTAGAAGGATGAAGCGTTCATTGAAAGCATTGTGGGAAGGGATATAACTCAATCTAGTATGTTCAAGATAGTACAGTGATTGTGAAAAAGTGTCATATTTGTAATTCAATTGAATCAGTATTACAATAATATTGAAAAAAAAAACTCGTTCATGAATTTTAAAAGTTATTTGCAGCGTGTCATCTTCATGAATAAACCGGCACAGATGAGTGTCAATTTCCATGTCATCTGAATTCTAACTGCTTGAGTCATTAAGTTTTTGACTTAATATTAATTAGTCTTACTGTTATTTGTATACGTTTATATTAAAACATGTATTAGTTTTAGTAGATGGTCTCAATATTTTTGGTCTTAGTTCTGAATACTTACTGATATTTAGCTCATTTATTTTTTTCAGTCGACAATTATTTAGTTGCATGTTACTCGTCATTTAAAAAAAAAAAATATTTTCAACGCAAGTTATATTTATAAGTGTTGTTATGCAACGCATGGACATCGTTTCCCAACGTTATAACCCATCATGACCTAACATTATGAACTTCTACTGCGATACAAGGATGGCTGCACCTGCTTTCACTACGGTTTCAACCACCGGACTGCAATGATAAAATGGGACACCATTTGATGGAAGCATAACTCAATAACAGATCAATTAATCAATATCGATTAGATTTATACTTAATGTCTTAACGGATACACGACTTACAATGTACGTCTAATTAAAGTGAATTTTAAGTAGACTGAAACATGTATCAGTAAAAACATTTCATGGACATATATTCTTCCATATCTTTCATATATTTACAATTTGTTATTGACTGGAAGAATATAAATAATTGTTTACATCATGTTTACATCAGGGAAAAGTGTCCTTAGATCAATGTGTCAATATCTAAAGGTTTTAAAAAATACACTTTTTGTGGATTACAATATCTCAGTATCGCTGATATTTTTTTTGTTATAAAACTCATTAAGTTCCGCTGTCGATTACAAAGGAACGTCCTATTAATTGTGGACAAATGTCGGTTCATACGCAATACTCATATGAGATAGAATTTGAAGTGGACTTGACAATGAACCTTCCTTTCACATAGGCGACAAGGACTATATTCCCCGATCGTCTTATCCGTTATGAAATTCCTTCGGTTACAACAACATTGACGAATAAGAGTTTTATGACTTCTCTCGCAGTAAATGTGATAAAGATAAATACCATCTATAAATTGGTCATACATCCTACATAAGGAACGTAGAATATCGGAGTGGAGTGAAATATCTGGTTTAAATCAGATTTTGAACTGGTCAACATGATGGAAGTAGAGGGCGCTGCTGGTCATATATATAGCTGGCTTCACGATGAAGTACAGCTAACACTTCCTCTCAATGTTTAAAACTTCAGGTTGAGTTTGTGTCTCAATCACATATCTATTCTATTAGATTTTTTCTTTAGTAAACCTTGTATATGATGTAAATAACGAAATTTAGTTTATCACCGTTTGTAAGTGATAATGTTATCTGGTAAACATACGAGTCTACCAGGGCAACGTGTCATGATTAGATAAACGATAATAGTCAATACATTGGTTCACTGGGTAAACGTTTTACAGCAAACATGAATATGAACTGGATTTTCTCAGTCTCGCTTTTCATCTTCTTGTCGGGATCTACCGCTTCCGTCGACAATGTAAAACTCCCCTGTACAGAGGACATGTTCCATAGTCACACAAATGCATATTGGGCATGCGCAGCGCAGTTTGCATTACAGTCCAACTGGTTCCCATCTCCAATTGCTGGTCTGTTTAGCTACCAGGTAAGACATTCCGTCTGCGTTTTAAGAGTTTGTTTGTTCGTTTCCACGAATCTAATTAGGATTCCGCAGTATTTCTAAGAGAAGCTGATGACGCCAAATTCCATTTAGTGCCGGGAAAATTATCTACACACTGCTTATGGTATTCCGTTCTTTATCTTTAAAACATCAACTGAAATTTATCTTCTTTGATCTTTCGAAACTACATATGTTTTGTTTATGTATTCGATTGAATGGTCGTCAAAACACAACATCAATACATTTAAAGCACTACAAAATGTATGAAACACTTTCGGTTGTCAACTCGTTTTATTGGTCATGTTTGAGATATACAGGTATAGCAGTTAGGTTATGAAAAAAATACATCATAACAGGTATATGTATTTGTAAACTACATAACAATTACATTACAAGTAGAGAAATAAAAACAGTGTAAATAAAAAAATTCCTCTGATTTCTGTTTTATAAAAGAACTCCTGTCTTAAAATCAACAACATTGTCATGGTAACACAATAATTACATTTCAGTAAATTCCAACTCAGAATGCATTCACAATATGACAACGTGTATACAATCTGAAAATTTCACTCCCCGTAAAGTTAGATTTGCGTGTGCAGACACAGATTCGAGACTGCCCAAATAGTAATATCCAACACAACGCAAAAATATCATTCTGAAAAATATGAAACCTAAACTATTCAATATGACAAGACCAATTTAAGCAAGGATTTATTTTTTAAATTTTAATTAAAGCCTTTATAATGGGCCAATCTAATGAACAAAAATATCAACTATGGCCACATCGAGAAACTGTACAGCTACCTGATACAAACGATAACACATTTTGAGGTGAGGGGTTCTTCATCACTTATCACTGTTAAACATAATGCGTTTGTGACGTATACATCATATGCTATTTATGTCGCTGTTACTCGTACCGCTAGCATAAAAATAAGATTAAAATTTTGGTTATGGTCATAATTGTAAAATTTAATCTTATTAGCTTAATCACGCTAGACCAATAAATTACTTTCTATTTAAAAAAAGTTGTTCGTATCACATGTACTTTAATGTACTAACGTCTGATATCATCAAAATTTCTTTCCTCTACAGATTTGGAATGGATTCGATGGTTTCTGGCAAAATGGCGCCGTGCTGGAACCGTTTGTGAATTTTATGACCTACGCTAACCATACCAGATACAAATCTGTTGTTCAAAGCTCCCAGCGAGAGCTCTATTCATTATTAGAAGCATATGGCCCTTACCCGTCATTTGACGATATGGGCTGGTATGGTCTTAGTTACGCGAGAATCTACGAGATTTTAGGAGGAGATGATTTCCTAAATTCAGCTGTAGATATTTTCAACTGGGCTTGGGAGACAGGATGGGACGAAAGTAATCGATGTAATGGGGGATTCTTTTTCGATAATCTTAAGAACGGCAAACAAACAATTACAAACGTTGAGATGTTTCAACTTGGAGTCAAATTGTACCGATTGCGTAAGGATTCAAGTATTCTTGAAAAAGTCAAAAAGATACACAATTTTTTGTTTAGTAACGAAATTGTAGACATGAAGACACATCTTGTTGTTGATGGCATATTTATGGAAAATTGTAGTAGTAATGGTGTGTATGGGCCTTCATACAATGGCGGAGTATTGATGGGAGGTTTAGTAGAGTACTACAAGATTACCAAAGACACATACTACTTAGAACTTGCCAAGCACATCGCGGAAGCCATCATTGAGACCAAATCCAATAATAGCCGGATCCTCACTGAATATTGTGATCCTAATTGCAACGAGGATGCTATGATGTTTAAAGGGATTTTTGTGAGGAATTTGAGATATCTAATGGACGCGCTTCCGCCCAAGGACACAACAACCAGATATAACTACCAGACGTATCTTGACATCAATGTCAAAGCAATAATAGAATTAAACACTTGTGACAAAAATCCTATTTCTGAATGTAATATAACTTTTCAGGACGGTCCACCATACTATAACGTATCAGGTCCAGTGTTTTCTCCTAACTGGAATGGTCCGTTCACCGTCGGAGCGCCTATGCAACAAACATCCGCTTTCGAACTTTTTGTGTCAAGCATTTACCCCGGGACATCATGTGTCGGTGACCTTTGTTCATATGACCCGTCATATCCGGCGCCGCAACCTTTGACCTGTGGAAGTCATCCATGTCCCAAACAAGAAGAATGCTGCGAATACAGCCCCTATACGTCCTACACGTGCTGTGCCAAAGGTCAAAAATGTAACAAACAGGGAATTTGCGTTTAGCACAAATTAAACAGCTTTCAAACCTGTGAAAAAAAAAAAAATTAGAATACAAGAATTTGGTTTCAGAATTTTGAGTGGTATACCGTAGAATTATCTTGCCTTATTCACTCAACAATTTCTCATTGTATTCTGTTTTTGATTTTTTACAATCCGCAACTTCTATAAATTCTTTGACACAAGTTTGATCATTACCACACCGATTCCGACTTCGGTAGGTTCAATTGTGAATTGGTATATGGTAGTTAGGATTATAATATATATATATATATGAATAAATGATTGATTATCTGGTATGTTGTCAAGGCTTTCATCGGCTGACAAGCTTATCACTACGAGTACTGGCAAAGTGAAACGAAGGGAAGTAACTTTTGGAGATTAGAAAGGTTTGATGTTCGGGTGACTTATTTTTATGTATACAACTGTGTGCTGAGTTGCCATTACAGAGGAAATAATTGGTATTTAATGTTGCATGCTATGTAATTCTACCACTTATTGCAACAGTATCAGTGTTAATTCAGGCGAAAAGTGATACGGTTCAGAAAATACACAAATACTTCAAGTTACTGTGAAATAATCAAATATATTTTGATACATGAAATTATCGCCCTTTTTTTCTTTCATTACTATATTGAAAAGTGAAACAAAAACTATTTTTGGCCTTCAAACACTGTAATATTATATAAATGGGTCACGGATAATTTCATTCACTTTGAATTCCAGCATGCACTATATATGTCACCCACAGTCACACAGTAATTTATTTTGTTCGTTAAAAATAGAGTACAAGCAATCACATCAGGTCAAACAAAGTCATTTGAAGGAAATAGTTGATTACAATAAGAGAAACAAACCCGTAACATGTTTATTTTAAAAGCATGATATTTATATAATTAATTTTCATCAGTTACAAACATTTTCATTGGCTATATGTTTTCATGTTACCAGCTCATAGTATAAAAAATAAAGAAGGAATTACTTTCGGTTCTGCCGGAAGTTCACATTGTAAACAAATATTGATCAAGGGTAGGGAACAAGATTAGCTTATGTTGACATCCTTTTAATTACGGATTGAATCTTGCTTATGTTGATTTCATATGATGATGAATTGAGTTGGTCTTGAGACAAATTTGATGAACTCTTTTTTTCTATAGCATGGGAATTGACGCATTTTATCTTCTACTTTAATTTTCGTTTCGTGTCATCATATTGTTTGACGTCATACAAGCAAATAGTCCGTCATTTGAAGACAGATTATTGTGACAGGTTGAAATATATTTCAGCGTGGTTACTTAATATTCAATGAAACGTGAATAAGAAAAAAATTAATATATTTTTCGACAACTTTAATGAAAATTTAAATAATACCGTGCAACAAAGACAGTATGCATTTTTTCCCCGCGGAGGAATAACGTCTAGATGTGGTGCGCCGGTTCGCAAACGAAGCGGTGCCGGCCATCTTTTCTACATGCACCGAAACGGAGAAAAAGAAATATCAGGCTTCAGTCGCTTCACATCTTTTGAAACGTAAAGTTTTAAATGCTGAATACACAATTCTTTTTTAAAAATTTTATTAATAGTTTTAAAGTTTTAGTTTGATGTTTTAAAAAATATTTGTATTCATACGCACGGGCAATGTTTATCTGCTCAAATTCATCGGTAAATGAAACAGATCACATTTAGTAGTTTCATGGAGTCTGATTTGGGTAGATATCGAAATATAATTTCACAAAAAAAATCTTTTTACCAGGCATTATAATAGAAATAAGTGTTATTATAAAAATGGGCGCATTGAATTGTTTGGTTCAAATATTAACTAAGCATTTAAAAAATAAAGAAAAACGACACCTCACGTGAAAATCAAATTTGACGTCTGCTTCATATACTAACGGAAAAAAGAAAAGTTTTTGTCCGATGGTAAATATTTCAAATGTTTTATGGATGATTATATAATTGTTAAGCTGTTTATATTAATTCCTCATTACTGATTAAAATTTGAGAAGTTCTGTTGTCTTAACACAGATGGCGTTGGCATGGATAGCGTTTAAACGTGGATACCCTTCGCCATTTCCTGATCAAAATCAATAGCGGGTATGTCCACCTCGAGCTGCAGTCGCTGCTCTAACTCTCCTTGCCATTGACCCCATCAAGTTGTTTATGGTCCTTTGTGGGATGTTATTCCACTCCTGAAGAAGGGCCTGCGTGAACTGTGCGACGTTGTTTGGGACGTTGACGCGCTTCCTGAGCCTCCTGTCCAGCTGGTCCAACAAATGCTCGATCGGGGACAGATCTGGGTTGTAGGGTGGTCAGTCGAGTACTGGGACAGTGTTTTGGTTGAGGAAGTTCCGACACATCCTAGCAACGTGCGGCCTCGCATTATCCTGCTGAAACGTAAGGTTTCGCGCTTGGATTAATGGAAAGACATGAGGAATGAGGACCTGATCCCGATATCGGACGGCTGTAACAGACCCTCCGGATCTATCGTTTTCTTTAACGCATGCGTCAAAATATCGCTCACCGCGACGTCGATAGCAACGTTTTCGTCCATCTGACCTGTGCAACGTGAACCGAGACTCGTCCGTGAATAACACACGTCTCCAGCGGGTCAAGCGAAACCGATTTGGTGCATGTTAACGCAGCCATTGCATTCGACGTTGACGTCGCTTTGGTGTAAGTTGCGGACCAACGTAAGGACGTCGTGGCCTTAAATTGAACTCCGCAACCGATTCCTAACTGTTCTTGGACACACACGGCGACCATGAGTGCCTACAATATGACTTGCCGTCTCCGTCGCTGTCTGAAATCGGTTACGTAGGTGTGGGAGACGTATGCCCTGATCTTGACGTGGCGTCGTAACGCGTGGACGTCCGCTCCTGGGAAGTCAGCTAATCTTCCCATAGCCCTGGGACGCCCAACTAATCGAGCTATCGTTGACTCATGGAGTCCAAATTGCTGGGCGACCAGACGTTGCGATTGGCCCTGTAGAATGCGGGCAATAGCAGATTTCAGATTTCATTGGTACTCTCAGACATACAAAGTATGTTACAAGAGGTCAGATTGAAAAAAAAAAAAAAAAAAAAACATTCTTGGTATGGCGGTAAATAATTACAAACATAACATTATTTTAGCTACGTACATTCCATAGATTATCAAGCTTTTCAAGAAATTTACTGAGATTTGATAAAACTTTAACATTACATACAGAAAAAAGTCCATGCTATTTGTAATACTAGGATAAATAATATAGTAACGTGAGATAAATTGATCTCTAATTCTACGAACTGATTCATGATCGCATCTAAAAAGATAGTGGTATTCATCGCCAATTTCATTTGAGCAAAGATTACAAATTCTGTTCTCCCTTGGTATTCCAGTCCATCTTCCTGTTTCTACAGGTAAATATATATTTGAAGTTCTAAATTTAACGATAATTTGTCTTTCTCTAGGTTTAAGTTTCAAAAGATATTTTTCTAATTCAAAATTGCTCTTCATTATACAATAGGTATTTCCTCGAGAGGAATTAACTGAACCATTTTTGTATGAACTGGTCTTGTAATATTTGCTTAACGGCAAGTTTCAAATAATTTCTATTAAATGTACATATTTTCTGGTAGTCCCAGATAAAGTTTAAACCAGTTTCTATATATTTTGAACATTTTGCAACCATTTGAAATCCATATTGCCACTAATTTGTAGATTGTACATTAAGTTATGCATGATACTTGACAAGTTATTACTGGTAATTAATTGATACCAAAACATAATTACTCTGCTTTTAGCTTCGATCAGTAAAGGGACTCTCCCCATTTCACCATAAATCATAAAATTTGGTGTACTTCTTCTAATACCTAAAATACGTTTGCAGAATTGTAAATGAAGTTTTTCAATGGCACTATTTACCAGTACCACATCATTTTTCTATTTTTCAATTAATTATGATAATACCCACAACTTAATTTCATAATTAATAAATATTTTATGGTGAACGGCCTTACCCAGAGATGTGCATGCAGGAGTGAGTAATGTCAAACCAACAATTCCAACAATAAATTCTGTCTATAGTAGGACTTATTTAGTTATTGTTTTCATATAAGCATTAAATTAAGCCTAAGTATGGGAATGTATGAATTATTTCATATTATTTCAGGAAACAGTGCCAACCAGAGAAGAAAAACACAAATTGTACAAATTAGGGTTTGGGGAGAAAAAAATTACATTAAAAAAAAAATGATGACCCATTGTTATTCAAACAAAGGATTGAAGAGAGCTTCCCTGCAATGGAAAAATGTGGTGGATATGAACTTCTTAGATCAACAGTGGGGAGCAGAGTGTTTCTGGAAAAGCTTCAAATGCCCAAAAATGGCTACAATGCCAACTTTCTTGCCAACGAAAGCAACCTTGTCCAAGCAGTTTGCTATATTCGCCCAATCCAGAAGGATTTAGAACTTGTTAAACATGACTTCAATGACAAGGTATGTAAAATTGTATCTAATTTTGTATGTCAATAAATTAATGACACACTAGTTTACAGAATGGATACAATTGAGTGACAATTTACAGCTTCTAATTCAACTATTTATCCACACAGGTATTCCCTGTCAATACCAGAACATCTGTTTTAGTGAATGCTTAATTCTACTATCTTCTTATAATTACCATATATATCAATGCCATCTTACTTATTGCTTTTTATGCTATTATGGTTAACACATTCAGCATATTGCCATCAGATCAGACCTCTTACCCAATTTTCGGAATTTGACTAGGACCCCCTCTACTTCCTAGATCAAAAATCATTCAAAAAATTAGCTTGATAAATGGAGCTGCATAATTTTATATGATGAATGATAAACCTTCTTGCCAAGTTTACCAATATCATTCAAAATAATACTGTTATCTAATATAAAAATTCAAATTAAATGAGTGCAGACAATGTGCAATTTGGTTGAAATCCTGCTTATTATTTGTATTACTGAGAGGGGGTCGTTGTGGCCGAGTGGTTAAGGCGTCTGACCTGCTTAATCACTAACCCTCCACCTCTGAGAGGCAGGTTTGAGATCTACATGGGGCAGTCAGCAGGTCGTTGTTTTTTCTCCGGAAACTGGCTTTCCTGCACTACCCAAACCTGGCACGTCCCTGTATGAAAAAATAAAAACAAACTAAGTATTATTGAGAAAATCAATGATTTCTGCATTTCTTATTGATAAATTTAGGGCATCGATGGAACCTCTGAAACAGTGTATGAAGAATGTATGGAATGTAAAACTGCGATTCCCTTATCACAGCTGAGAGACCACATAAAAATGTGTTCACAATCCATCTCAAGTGAGGTAAATGTTATATTTTGTGTAAGTTTGTGTTTTTTTCTAATACAAATTTAATAGTTTCAGGGGGGCATATTTGACATAATAACATCTGTGGTCAGTGTTCATAAAATATATAGGCATTGAATATGAACAACTTAGGACTTGCAGATTGTTTTGTGGTTCAAATATCACAATTTAGTTAAAAAGTGATTTATTCAACTGTTTACAGCATATTACATTAAACTATTTTATGATATGACTATAGCCATTGATCATGATGATGATAAGTAAGACTTGCTATGTAAACCTTGCTGCAAGAAGTATATAAAGCATATTATACAGAAAATTAGGTCAGAAATGACGAGTACTTTAACTAGTAGTAATTTTTATATAAATGTTTAGGAAGAAGATGTTCCAAGGGTAAAGAGGAGGAAAAAACAAATGCCTGTATGCCATTATACATGTGTAAGTATATGTAGATGTGATGCTAGGTCTGCACCAGTTTGTGTGTTATTTTGAAATAAACTGCTGTTAGTTTCATAATGTCATTGGTGAGTTTAACCAGGTTCCAAACAAATGTTTACAAGGGTTTCAATTGTACATTATAGATGATTTCTCCTAGTATTAACAAACTTTTAGTTGAGTTTTTTAATGTTTTCTCATTTTGCATGTAAATCAGCTGACATATGTCTAAAGAAAATGTCTGTCAAACTTAAGTCAATGTGGTATTTAAATTTACTGGAAGAGAAAATTGTATCAAGGTGTGGGTAAATAAGTGACACCACTTGCACTGATTCTATCGGTGTTCTTATAAATATGCTTAAACAAATAGAAAATTATTTTTATTTAAATATTCAAAATTTCCACCATTTTTACTATCAATAAGCACAGGAAGATTAGACAGTGTAATCACAGTAATGATACACATGTACACGTAGACAAACTTGTTCAACAGTGGTCTTGAAAGGGAGTGAGGTCGTTGTTATTACAGAGCATGGGGTAATGGGTTGGTCTGTATCATTACTTTGGATTGACATATCAACACATTTATCTGAGCATGTACCTTATTGCAGACAACTAAGTGAATGCATAACTTATGCATGTTGCAGATGCTAAACATGGCAGTAAACATTTCCTGATTCTATGATAAATAATCCAAATATGAAGAATTAGACATTCCATATGTGGGAAACTACTAGTGCATTTGTATTAGTAAATTTCAAAAGTATGTTACATTGTAATAGTGTAATGTGGTGTATTTGAAAACTATATCCATGCACAGGAGATCTTGATGACCGTGTCTTCTTGTTTTTTGTTTCCATTGTTGTTGATAAGCACTAATCCAATGTACATGTTTTAATGTCATTCAGACAGTGATTATTGGTAAAAATTACCTATTGAACCCTTAAAAATGAAGACCATTAAATGAGAAAACCTGTACATTTTGTAATAGATATGTATGTTACACTAGTGGTGCCATAGAGATTCATGAGGACATTTCCACAACTCATTTTACAGGTCAGTCTTGCTGGAAAGTGAGAAATCTGGGATGTGTCCTGTTTGTACAGAGCAATTTCCTATAGATATTATACCAGTACATGCATCAAGTTGTGGAGTTGGAAAAGACCCAATTTGTAAGTGACCTATTGGTGTGCAGAATGTTCTGAATTTTAGAAATGATCTCTTTCATGTATAGGATTCTTTATTCCAAGTTCAACGATCTCTGTTTTAGGTTAATTAAATACTGTTTTCAGGTTGTGTGTATTCATTTGAAGGAACATCCAAAAACTAGTAGATTGAGGGAACATCAAGTCTACAGTTATGATGTCATAATGACATCACAGAAGGGCACCATCAGTAGTGATCTTGTACTTGATAATGCTCTCAAGTGGTTTTATTAGGGCTTTTAAGTATATTGTAGGTATGTATTTGAAGGTGTGCAATAAGATTTTTCAAGTAGGTCAAAAATCCAATATGGCGGCCATGACGTCACAAATTAAAAACTTTAAAACGGCCATATCTCGAAATCCGTAAATTATACAGAGTTTGTGTAATAATATTATTTGTAGAGAATTTCTATATCTAACTTTTTTCTATGCCATGTTAATACAAAATATGTCTAATTAAAGAGCTCGCTATGCGATAAAGGTTTTAAAATTTAACAAAAAAAATTTTTTTTTTTTCAAGTTTGATTTTTCTTGAAATTTTTTTCTACAGGTCGATGCAGAAGGTCCTTCTGATGAATTAAGTGCTTTCAATTCTTCTCTAACATTTACCACTTCCGTTTTAGGCCATTTTGAAAATTTTCTTTGATCTTTTGAAAATGCCGACAAATTGGAAAAACTGGTTCTATATCAAAATTGATCTAAATGTTATTGAAAAAGTTTCCCCAGGTGTCCTCTACCGTTTGATGATATTTACAAGTTCATCGGAAAAACAAAATGGCCGCTATGACGTCATTTCCGATATAAGCCCTAACGTCAATATCTCCATAACGGCAGAAGGTATTGAATTTATCTTTGGATATGTTATGTAGAATAAGAAATAGATCATATCTGACTTGACATTATTTGTGTAAAATGTGTACTTCCGGTTTTCGGTAGGGGTCAAAGTTGAAAAGTGCTATTTTGGGGTCCCAAAAACCCAAATTCTAGAAAGCGTAGAGTCTCAATATTTCACAGGTAAGACCCTGTAATAACTGGTTATCAAGTTTGATAATATAAATTACCTTGACCCACTTTCAAGGTAACAGGGGTCAATTAACGAAAAATCGTTAAATGACAATTTCTCAATTTCTAAAAGACATAGAGTGTTGAAATTGATGATAAACCTTCTGAGGACACTTCCTATTGATAGTCGTAAGAAAAAAATGCCCTAAAATTTCAACTTCCGGTCATTGGTAAGGAAGAATGTTGAATAGTGTCATTTAGGGTACCAAACTTTGAGAAACTTCTTCTCAAGTTTGGAAAGGCCTTAAGGCTTGATATTCAATAGATAGGAAGGTTATGTAACTGGTAACAAAGTTTGATAATATAAATGACCTTGACCCTCTTTCAAGGTCACAGTGGTCAATTAACTAAAAATCGTTAAATGACAATTTTCCAATTTCTGAAAGGCACACAGTAATGAAAATGGGTTATAATCATTCAGTTGAAACTTCCTTTTGATTGCCATCAGAAAAAAACTGCCTAAAATTTCAACTTCCGGTTTTTGGTAGGGGCCAAAAGACCTTATAACTTGCAGGTGGGGTGTAAGAATTATACCTTCTGCCACTAATGAAATATAGTAGGAGGCGACCAAATTTGTATTTTACAGTTTCTCTGTTTCTGAAGTTAGGGTAACAAACCAATTTCAGTAAGGTGAAATCAAGGCTTTATAGGTGTAAAGAAAGTCTGAATGTCAGGGGGCCTATGTGGATGAAAAGCGCGTCAAATTGTTGGCCAACAATTTCTAGTTTCAAAATAGTATTACCAAGCAAATATAGATATTTTGATATATTGAACCTCATTTAAAGTAAGAACATGTTAAATGAAAACAGCAAGGGAATGCTGATGTATGGACTGTGTAGATATAGTTAGTTTACAGGTATCTCAGAAGTTGAAAATTCTAATTTAAAATTACACTGAATACAGTGCACCGAGAACAATAGCATTTTGACATCCCATTGTTTTTCATTATTATATATAGTTAACTTAATATTTATTTAAAGGAATTTACCAGACCAGCTCTCTAAAATAGCACAAGAGTTGAAACGTCATGAAAAGCCATGGTCAGTTAAGGTTGTTCAAATTACATGCTATTGAAACAAGAGGCTGACTTTTCCATGGTGAAAACAGAGGAAATTCAGAGGGAAGATGTTGTCAGTGCTATAAAAGAGGTGAGAAGATATACATCTTAATAAGAAATTCTTGAATTAAGCTTTAAAGACACTACACATTATATACCTTTAACAATAGACAATGAGCAGGATGGTTTTCATTTATGCAAAAGGATTATGAAAGTGAATTATACTAACTGATTGCTGCTGTAAAATAATGATTGCATAATTACTGTAAACATTCTCGAAAGATGGACGTAATGTTAAAGTCCAGAAAAAACATTTATAACAAGAAGCTCACATGTTTCGAGTCACTTGATTGCAATGTGATATGACTTATCAATGAAATCTCACCAATAAGTAGTGGTCAGTAGAAACTAGTCCTGTTGAGATAAAGCAGTTAACAGACGTGGTAAGCAATCGGTCATTTACTAGTCAGCAGCAGTCATGTATTGCCACCATGAGTCTTCTAGCAGTGTTAGTAATGGTCAGTAGTAAGATCAACTATTGCTTATTGTTATCAGTAGTCAATTTCAGTTAAGCAGTAGGACAGATGTGTTCAAAAAGTGGGCAATAGTAGCTGTAGTGGTGATAAAGAGCTCAGTAGCAATCACATATCTCAACCTGCAAGTTGATGTTCTGAAAGCAAGATTAAATAATAGTTTCCAAGTTTCATATTGTATTTTAACTGGCTGAAACCTTTCTTGATTTCCTAAGTAAATATGCTCTTTGTAATTTCGTATTTTTTTTTAATTTCCTAGATTGAAGAGGCCACTCTGGAGACAATTGGAAATGTCTATAATGAGCACATCTTTATGTTTGAAGCCACCGGATACACCAAAATTCTAACTTTGGACAATAAAGATGAGGCAATTAAGGCTTTGAAGGCTTTCTACCTGCTCTATCGACCAATGGCTTCAATAAATCAGTTTATGGAAGGTATTTACCACTACCTCAGTTTCTCCCTTCATGTCTTGCATTAAAGCATCAAACCAGTTATCATCAATATTAGAATACCTAATTAATAAACTTTGTTATTGCCTGGCAGGTAATCTGCAGTGTAAGAACAAAATAACAGATTTTCTATACATTTATGTAAATAAATTTGTTATTGGTGATTTTAATTGTAGTCAGTGTATAATAAGACTATTCTAAATTTATTAAGCAGCCATCATTCGTTTGTTTGGAAACTATAGAAAATGGAGCCAATGGGTCTTTTGACTCCTATTGAAATAAATATATGAACTCTACATTCCAAACCTTACTTATGACATATATAATATTTAGTACTCTGAAATGAAATACTTGCTTGGTGAAGGCATTGCAACATGTCATTTTAACCAGTTCTTAGATGTGGGTGGAAATTTTTCATATGCACAGTTTCACATTTCAGGGCTCAAACTACATGGAATACTGCAGAAGCTTCAGGAACACCCAAAGGATGCTTGTCTTTTCTTTAACGGAAGTTCCTATCCCACTGCAGATGAAATACAAGATTTCTTCAAACCGGTTTATTCATCAGGTACAGAGGAAAAGGAAAAGGAAGAGATGATTGTGTATAACTGGGGCAAATATCTGAAAAATATTAGCGCACTGTATCTTGTGTAATTCACATCTCAGGATGGAGGAGTGTACTATTTAACAGTACAACCAACTGTCTTTATTTTCCTAATCAACCACTTGAATGGCATTCTGTTCATTATGGCTTGTTTTAGTACTGGTTGTGTTGTAACTTTCAAACCATTGAAAATTTCTGGATGAAGCTTTAAACATAATTGTATTATCCAGACATTGTACAATCATGGAAATTAGTTCACTGTGATCTTGACCTTAAGGTCAGAGGTCAAATAAGTGCAGTTGTTCTGGTACAATCTTGTCCGGGCCTTAACCTTTGAGCTATTAAAAACATCTTTAAAAACAACTTGAAAAATAATTTTGCTACACACAGGTTTTGTTCACTGCACAGTTATCTTAAGCTGAATGTAGCTGTTATTAAAAATAGAGTTTTAGCAAATATTTCACCTGATAGATATTTTGTTAGAACATTATGCAGCAAAGTTGACCAAAACCAGAATGAGATACCAAGTAACCTGGCTATAGGTCCAGCTTACAAGTTCAGAATTCAAGGTCGAATCTTTCCTGGTAAACATACAAGCAAAGGTGACCAGAATCAATGAGGACATGCTTGATCACAGGTCAGAGTCAACGGATTCAAATTTTACCTCTTATAACTGGTAAATATTTTGTTGGGAAATACGAGGTAAACTTCATCAGAATGAAATGAGCAAGTGCATGATCAAAAGTCAAGGCCAAATTTCTTCATAGATAAGTAATTCCTGAAATAATGAAATGAAGACGATTGGAATAAGACGAAAAGACACAATAAATACATCAAAGTTATGAGTTACCTGGTAAATATAAAAGTCAAGCTGTTTATCTCTTCACTGAAAAATATCTGGTAATGGACAGAACATACTGTGTGTTCTTGGTTGATATTAAAGAGGAAAAATAAGTTTTTGCTCACAAAATCAGACATCTGGTTGTACCGGTATATCATCCTTCCTGTAACAAGCAATATGAAAGACATACTATATGTCTCCGAGATAGTTGTTTCCTCATGGAAGCTTCATTCAAGTTTTTTTTCTTTAGATATGTTGAGATAGATCATGCTGTACTACACACATTATGACATCTGGCCCACTGCACACAACCAACAAAATTAATATTCTGGTGTATTCACTCTTTATTAGCTCACCTGGTCCGAAGGACCAAGGTGAGCGTATGCCATACCGTGGCGTCTGTCGTCGACCGGCCGTCCTTCCAGCCGTCAACAATCAACTTCTTCTCCAAAATCACTAGTTGAATTTCCACCACATTTGGTAGAGAGCATCCCTGGGTGGCAGGGACTCAGATTTATACAAATGATGGGGCTGGCCCCCCAGGGGCCTGAGGGGCGGGGCCAAAAGGTGTCAATTTAGCAATATTCATAAAATAAACTTTTTCTCTGAAACTAAGCGTAGCATAATATTCATTTTTCTTCACAAGCAATCCTAGGTGGCAGGGATTCAAATTCATACAAATGATGGGGCTCGCCCGCCAGGGCCCTGAGGGACGGGGTCAAAGGTGTCAATTTGGCAATATTCATAAAAGTTCTGAAACCTTTGAGATCCCCACCCCATAACCATATATAGTCTTGTTGGGCATAAAGAGATGAACACAATCAGGATGTAGCAATCGGCCCCTGGGTCTGGCCCAACCCCATGGGCTTCGTTTTCAAAATCCTACTTCTGTTGCAAGGATCATTCTCAATTTTCATATGTAGGTTCCCCTTCATGCTTACTTACCCATATTGCTTTCGGAACTGATCCCTCCAAAATATGGCCAACTGATTGCCATCTTTGATTTTGTTAGAGCAAAAGTTTTTATAGCTATTTCTCATCAAGTAATAACTTGATCTTTCAAATTTTATATGTAAGTTCCCTTTCACATCTATTTACGCATATTGCCTTTTGAAACTGATCCGAAAAAAATGCCTGCCTGCCAGGTGAGCGATACAGGCCCTCTGGGCCTCTTGTTAAAAGGAGTGATTATTTTATGACAGTACTGTGTAATGTAATATATGCAATTATTTTCTGCTCGCATACCTGTTATAATTTTAAATCGGCCTGTGGTGGGAATCAGAAACTATAATCAAGAAAGTAGTTATTCCCTAAGTGAGTGAGGCAGTTATAGGTACATCTCTGAAACTAGTTTAAAAGGTTAAAAGTATAGGTCACCTTACCAGCTTTTGCTGGTGTGAATTTCCCTCTAGTCTGGATATAGGATGTTTGCTTGGAGAGCAAGAGATCACTAGCTCATGCTGGGGTGTGAGAGTGGTATTTTTCTCTTATGCTTCCTATTACACCAGCACGTGGATCTTCAACAGGATTTATAGAACTAATCCTTATATATGTATACTCAGAAGGGCCGGACCTGAGTTATGTAATGCTTACCTAGAATCTTGCATTCATGTTAGTGTCCTTCATAAATTTTACTTGGATGACTGTTAGGTCTCTTGGCATCTTGTTTATAAAAAGGATAATATTTTTTTCCTTATAATGTTTATTACAATTCAAAATAAGAAACAACATTGATGTATGGTTTTACTATGATCATTTCAGAGGGGAGAATTTCTACACCATGGCTGTCCATGGATACAGGTGTAGAAGACATTGTGGAACTAAACATGGGCCACCTTTGTCAGGCACTGTTGGGTTGCCCAAAACTTCTGACAAGCATGAACTCTGGAAGTATTCAATTTGATCACAAATCTTCCAATTTGCCGACGGTCAATACATGTGCACCATCAATTACATTTTCAAAGACGGAAGAACTACAAAATTATTGCACATTCCAAGAGGTTCTTCAAAATGTTATTGTCGGTGCATATGGTTTTGGGATTGCATGAAATTTTTGCTTTGAAGAGACAATGAAAAGAGACAATGATAACATATTTGAAGACTCATTTCAAGTTTAAAGTTCACCTAATGCAAGTTGAAATTGTCATGCAAGGAGAAATTGTCCAACCATCCTTCATAGAAATTGATGAATTCCATTAAAAATGATAGTGAAATTATCTTCTGTTATCATTTTGTACAGAAATTATCTTCTGTTATCATTTTGTACAGCAGTTAGGACTTCTTCGTAAATGTTCACCTTGAAATTGGAGCTGTCTCTGTGTAATATGTTCTCCAAACAAGAAAGTGTTGCATCAGACAATGGAAGGGTTTCTGGAATTTCCACTGAAGGCTGTGTGTTAGCTGGTCCTTCCCAATCAATGCCATATGTATGAATACCAACCTATGATGATAAAAAGCAAGTGTAAAACTAAAGTGAATTGTTCTCGAATAAGACATCTACATTTTACTTGCATGTGTAATGTACTCAATTTAGTAACAAAAGCCGTCACTTCAATTAATGAGTTTAATAAAACTAAGAGCTCCAAGATCTCTGATACACTTGTCTGTTTGCCATGATTTTTCTTCTGATCTTCGAGCAAGTCTACACTGCATTGGAATAAAACATGCTGGGTCAATCAAGTACAAAATGTGGGTATGTTATAGCTACGATAACACATCCTTTGCAATAAAACATTCTTAAAATCATGTAAATTTGGATTTTACTGTACCTAATGTATTGTTGTTTAATTCTGACAAGATTCGCTTCATAATCTGATCCTGATTTGGTCAGTTGACTTCTTGTTTAATATCAAACATTTTCATTAATAATGTCAACAGAATTAAAGTTACCAAATCTGATCCTTACTTGACCTTTAGTTTGGTAACTTCAAGTATGGTTACAAACAAGTATACTTCACAAGGTCATAACAAAATTTATACAACTTGACGGTAAATACAATAGATGACCTCTGGATTATATCCTGTGCTTAATATCATTCCAAACATTAACCATGTAACTTTTGTTGATGCAGCACTTTAGAACTAACTTAAGCTACAGCTGAAAATAATTTAAGTCCAAAACTGGGTCAGTGATGCAGAAAATGTGGGTCAGATCCAGCCGCTGGAACAGGAAAGGTGTTAACACACCAGCCATGCAAATTTAGTTGATGCAGCATTTGCAGCTATTTCAAAACTGATTTTTACCAAATGTTGATGCCGGGTACAGCATCAGCCCTTCTCATGTTTATTTAGGTGTTAGAACAAAACATTGCCTGGAAGCTAATTTGTTTCTGCAATCAGTCCAAAAATAAATCATATAACTGTGAAAACCAGTGTCATTTACTGGTATTACGAAAAAAGTTGAGAAATGAATCCAACATGTACCGAGAAATAGTTGTAATAATTTTCAATAAACTGTCAAAATTCAAGATGGTGCCTGCTGCTATCTTTATATATCAGATCAAGCTCAAAATTTTATAAGCAAAACTAGGACCAATACTGAACATATGATTATGGAGGGCTAAGTAGAATGTGCACATTTTGAATTGTCATCTATGGAAAATTTATTGAACCTTTTTATACAGACTGTTATTCCACAATATATACCTCAGTTTCTGGATCAAAAATGACATTACGATGGCCACTAATCCAAAGTTGCATTGGTGTTCGGTTTTTTTCTGTTCTTAGAGGTCGTGTCTGTAAAGTGGCTCTAAACGTATCCAGGTGACTTTGAATAAGAGGCAGATACACCAAATGAAGAATTTGGATGTGAAGGTCATTGTCTGGATGCAGAATGCCTAAGTCTTCAAGATAGTAGAAGAGATTGTAGAATGTCATGGTACACCCAGCCCATAACTCGCGCCAAAGACGTTCTATCCTGGAGCATACACAAAAAGAATCATATTAAATTTTAGCAACCTGAGAGATAAGGCAATAATACAACAAACTTGCATGTTTTAATCAGTTTCTATATAGGTGGAATATTTACATCATACATTATCCTTCGGAAATTCAAAACTTATTAGAAAATCATTGTCTGTATTAATCTATATTACATGATCTCCCTTTTGAAGAGCATCAACACTGTCGCTTAGTTTGGAAAAGGGTCCAATATAACTACCAAGCCTTTAATGACATGGAAAGACAGATCCCATTGAGTAATATGAACCCTTGGCTTTGATGAATTAATGGGGCATTCCTGCTTTCGGACATTAGATAAAAGCTTGATTTCTATTTATGAAATTCACACCTTGAGAGCTTTTCTTACTGTTTACAACTATCACGAATTTAGCATACTGTACACAAATAGCACCTGTCTTTGTGGTAATTAGGTGATAATTCAGGTTGAATTATAGATTTTTGAGATTTATTACTCTAAAAACATTGGGTTACCTTGAAAGTAAAACTGTTGTATTTATGTTAAGTTAATAACTTTTACTACTTTGGGGGGAAAAATACTAATTTCCTTTTATTTTTTTAATTTTCTTTTATTTTGGGGACCTAAAATCACTTCAAACGCAGTAATGCCCCTTTAACAATTATGTCTTAAAAGAATGTCAGGTTTGTTATACGAGTTTAATTCTGTAATTCTATTTCTTCACATAATTGAAATGATTGAATAAAACAAATGGAATACCTTTGATTATGTACACTACGCCCAGCAATGAATGACTTTTCAGCTGTACCCCTCCTGCTGAACATGTATTCAGCAACCTTAACATTCTCTCCTCCCTTATCTGACCTCTCTTAGGCAGACCATATCGACTAACAGCTTCCATGAAAACATCAAGGACTGTCTCAGCCTTATAATTATTGCTAACTTTCAAGAAGACCGGCATTCTTGAGAACCCATCAATGCCTCCATGTATTACAAATCGCCATCTGTAGAAAAAGTAACATGATCTGATGACATTGCAGTTTATTCATTTGTTCCTTGAAGTTAAGACAATGTAACACATACCTAAAATGAAAACTATTATATAAAATCTGCATTAAATGCCAGAGTCAATATTTTTACATACCGGCTTGCTGCAGTTTCTACTTAAAATCAAATCATGTTAATATTATTTTTACAACATTCCAATGTTCTATATATGTTGCCAAACATATCATGTTGGACAATTTACTTGTTATGTATATAAACAGCATATTTCATATAATACATTTAAAAATTATTCACAATATAGTCCTGAGAAAGAATTTGGGGTATATCATTGATACCCAGCAGATTTTGGTGAGCTTTCTTCTGTTCAAGTATTTGATTATCAATTGGCCATTTATAGTAAAAACATCAATTTCATTAAGTCACTCAGATTTCGAATCACCTCACTACCCAAACTAATCCAGAAATAAAAATACTTCGTGAGTAAGCAGTAGTTGACTGTTATTTTGTAATCTACTGCAATGGATCAATCAATGTATAATACCCAAGTAGCTTACCTTATTAGTTTGTGGTTGCCATCAATGTGCCAAAGAGCCTGTGGTCCACTTACGCTATAAGTCCTTCTCTGCACACGACAGGTTGTCAAAATAAAAAGACGCCGGAACAGAGTACCTTCTGAATCAGCCTTTCTAAGAGCATCTCTAACCCTATGTTCTTGTACACGGAATCCCTCAGTCGCTAAGATACTGAGAACTGTCCGATACCCAACATGGGGGAATTCAACTACTATCTTCCGTATTTTTTCTTCTAATTCGATATCATTAATGTCCGAATATGTTTTAGATACACTTAATCCAACCTGTTGTAGTCTTCTCTCGATGGTTCTTTTCCCTACACCGAGCATATCAGCAATGTCTTGTACTTTGAATCTACTGTCCAGCAAAAATTCTAAAACATAAATTGGTATATGAAAGCTCGGTCTCCTTGTATGCCCTGGAACCAAGTTAGGTCGCGAAAACGTTCTCACTTCTGTTGAATCACGTATTTCTGGTAACATACTTAAAACACACCCCAGGATATTTAATGATTCGTCAATATTTGTTATACTGGATAACTGACAAGCCATGGACACAACACCTTCTATATCGCTGGACAAGTTACTTGTTCGTCCTTCTTCGATACATGATGCTGTATGTAATATCTTTCTTCGAAGCAATTCTTTCATTTCAAAGACAGCCATATTTGCTGTAGGCCTACTTTCACTTTCGCCTTTAACAGCTAGTTGGTAGTTTCGTATATTTTTGAGGAGAAATCATTTTACTTTTAACAGCGCCATCTGTCGATAAAAAACGCAGCGTTCCAACTTGCTTTCGTCTTCGTGCTTTGTGGTTCATAATATGCGTCGTCCTAAATGCAGTGCGTTACTAACAAACACCAACAAGAAGAATGCAATAGGCGACCAGCATGTACGAATGTAATAATAAACCAGGAAACAAGATGAACGAGGATGAAAAGAAGATGGAATAGAATTCAGGATGACAAAATGAACATGTAATGAAGTGACACAGAAGTACAAATGTAAACATGAATATGTGAGGAAGACGAATTGGAATGTAAGAAAGATACATAGACTTTTGGCGGGCATACCCTTCCATACCTGAGTACGTATTGTCGCGTGTCCAGCTGGTCACTTGAAACTGCGACCCCAATAAAGACACACGAACTTATAGGGATGCCTCCATTATATTTTACAGTTACAAAAACAAACAAAAAAATCAACAAAATCGGTACGATAGTACACTGAGGTATTTATGTGTCACATTTTACAACATTTGGTCTACGGATAAAAAAGTTATATTACCAAAACTGAACTTGCGTTTCTTTTTTCCGCTAGTATATTAAACACGATCCCCCTTTCGCTCTAGGCTTCCATCACCTCGCCATCACTACCTGTCACATAATACCGCGCTATTGTGAGCCAACGATGTCACGGACAAGCAGTCAATTAACATTTCGTCTTCTGGTATCATTCAAATTTCAACACTGGTACCTTTAATTTTGGTCATTAGATCCGACTAGCTTGGCATTAATTTCACCCCATCTGGCGATGAATGGAAGCGCGCCAGT